TGCACTACTGAAAAAAATATCTTTTGTAGCCAGAAATGCTACAGCCATTTTCTACAACATCTGACATGCCTTCGTGTCTTGCTCTAGTTTTGTAGGTGATGAATGCTGCAGTACCTACATTAATAAGCTTTGCCTCCAACACTGTAAAGATGCTAATCTTAACTGTTGTTCATCTAAACAACTCATTCCTGATTTTGCAGTTGGCTTATTATTGTTTAAAAAATGCAACCGTGAAAATGACAAAATGAGATGATGTACATGAAGTCTGCGTGTGAAATTTCTGAAAATAATTATAAATAATAATAATAATAAAAAACATTAGCTGTACATAGTGGTTCTCAAACTCCAGCTTACTATATGCTAGTAAGTTTTGAAACAAAGTATTAATGCAAGAAGTAAGCTGTAAATTATTCTTCTACGGGTTCCCGAGCGGCACAACAGAATCTATCTTCTGGAGATTGAGTGAGAATCCAGACGATCCCACAGCCATCAACGGCTGGGAGCCAAGACAGCAAAATTGGGGGGGCTGGGGCCATACTCTATCTCCCCTGTCAAACTAGCCAATCATAGGTGTTGGTATATGGAAGAGGGTAGATAGCGCTTTCCTCTGACGTAGCCTGTGACGTAGCACGAGCAGCGGTTTAAAAAAAGATGTGGTTGGCTGGCTTAAATGGAGAGTTGCTTGATGGGTAGGAATTGGCCAAGACAAAATTAGGGAGAAAAGGGAGAAAAGAGAGAAAATGGAGGGAGCGAGCAGTTCGAGAAGATATGGTTGGCTGGCTTCAAGGGACAGCTGATTGATAAGTGGGAAGAGGGAAGGAAGGAGGGAAGGAAGGAAGGAAGGAAGGAAGGAAGGAAGGGAGGGAGGTAGGAGTTAGGGAGAGAGGAAGGAAGTAATCTATCTGTGCTCCTCTGTGAATGCCTTGGGATGGTTAACCTGTTCTTCGGTTCTACATAGGGACAGAGTGAAGATTTAGGGTGATGGATAGAACTAAAGAGCGTAGTGATTATGGTACTCCTGAGTACTAGCACATACTCTAACCTTTGTTATTCTGTCTATGTAGGTCTTTAGCCATTTGTGATGACCAAATGTCCCGTTAATGATATGAATACTGGACCTTGCGGCTAGTCCCCATGAAGAAAAGTAGCTTTTATCTAAAATAACCAAAATACTTCTTTGGGTATTATGGTTAAGGTTAGGATTAGAATTAGTTTAGGCACAAAGGTTTTTGCTTTTTCAGAATTTAGTATAGCAATGTACAGATTAACAGCAGCTCCTCACAGAGATGTGTGATTCTCTCTGTTTATTCTACAACTATCCTGAACTTGTTTTTGGTCAGTGAGCATAACTTCAGCCTTATGATCCCTTTAACAGCTCTAGATTAAATTCTGGCTCACTTATGGGTCACTTTAGATAAAAGCATGAATAAATGTAAAATGGGAATGTAATGACCTGAGAGTGAACTTCCTGGATTTCACCTAAATGAAACTGTTTAAAAAAAAAAAAAATAAAAAATATGCATAATGGCAAACTATGCACTCATTTTAACCCTATGTACCTTCAATACAAGTTAGATCACGTGAATTCTAACAGTGATGAGACCATGCTTCCATGAAAGGTGGTCACTTTCAGAATTTCTGCACATGCAATTATTACATTTTCTTTCAGACTGTGGTATGCGTAACTCTTGCGGCTTTGTGCCTCCACCAGCTCCGAGCTGCAAACTCCACACAATTTTATCTTTGCCTGCACTCTGTTCAGCACCAGTCATCACCATGGCAACCCTTTTGCCACCCCGACTCCCACCTTCCTCACACCTTCCAAAAAACCATCAAAAGAAAGCACCAGCCATTTATAACCGTGTCTGAAGAGGCCAATGACCGACTCACACAGAGACAGCAGCAGGAAACAACAAGTCTGAAGCTACGACGTGTTGCGAGAAGCAACACCTGATTTATTGGTTCGGTTGCTCACAAAACAAAAGAAATTGCTCACTTTAGTATCATTTTAGACATAGATAGATTGAAGCCAGAGTTAGTTCATTAACCTGTAAATTCAGCTGCTCTGTGCTGTGCTGAGCTTGGATTCTACTTCACTTCTCCAGCACTTTGGATGTCAGTAAAACAGAAAGTCATCCCCCATAATGAATAACAATGCTTTACACTGGAAAATACATTTCCCTGTTTTCAGTAGAGTCAAATTCAATTCCACTTTAGCTGTGAATTTAGCTCAGAAAATGAAACTGGAAAGTGAAAATGGATCCAAGCACCAGGCTGATGACATACATCAGCACTTCTACAGTCAACACAGTTTGTCTGAGATAGAAAGAAGCTTGAAAGAGAAAATGTTATTCTTTAACGACCAAAAAAAAGTGTCCAAACATCAAGAACAAACTAATTCTTGATGTTTGGACACTTTTTTTTGGTCATAAGCACAAAAAGTATTGGAGGAGAAAAAAATCAAGCCTAAAAAAATCTAGGTAATGTAACATTTTACTTAGTTGCACACGCCTGTTATACTATAATTAAAATATAAAAAGCAAGCATTTAATTTGCAATCTATCTATCTATCTATCTATCTATCTATCTATCTATCAATAAATACTGTCTTGAACAAGCAATATAAAATACCATCTGTTCATTGGCCCTTTTTTATTTATTTATTTTTTTTATTTTAAAGTTAATACAATAGCATTGCATATTCCTTAAATTATTTGCTTTTAAATAGCTTATTACTTGTGGGAAGAGCTTTTAATCCTATGCTTTATGCTAAATAGCTTTTTGCGCTGTTCACAATCAGTAAAACGTTGCATTTCAAACATTCATTTTTCATTCAGTTGTCTTTTGGAAACATTTGCATCCCTTCCCAGTTAATGCTTGGTAAGGGTAATGCTAATAATCACAACTTTTAAGACGTATACTACAGACCCCTTTGGTGTTTGTAAACAAAAAGAGATGTGCATATAACCTGGTTGCAAAAAGACCCAACCAGCCTACCAACCTGACCCAACTTGGTTAATCTATCTGAAGTATCTAAGCAGAATTTTATTTAGGAATCGGATTGAGATTAGCTAAAATATTATCCACTTATTATCATGGATTAGCACTAAAGGGCTGGAAGTGCTATTTGGCTAAACTAACAGTTTAGAAGGTCCTGTTGGCTGTCAGAGGCTAAATGATGCTAAGTGGTAATAGACAGACATATATACTTATCTCACAGAAACTCAGAGGGTTTGTATTAGAGAGAAATTGAAGGCATACAAGTCTCTTGAGGCTTACAGTTTTCTTGTTTGTGGCCACGTTCAAGACGTAATTATTTATGTGTACCACATTCAGGACATCGTAGCAGTGTAAGCCGAGATGCTGCCCAAACAGCTGCCAAAAATTGAATACGGTTAGCTAGATAAACATGTCCATTCTTTGTTAAATACAAATTAGGCATGTTATCTAAGTAGCAAGCTAAGCCTGTTAAATTCTGTTAAATTCAGTGATATGATAGTTAGCTACTTAGATGGAGCTCCTCGGACCAATTATCCACAATTAACCACAGCCATCTTCTGCTTGCTTTGAAAGGTGTCTGATTAGATAGCATGCAGCAAAAACAAATGTGTTTATGAACACTTTTACAAGTCTGACACCCAACAGCAAAACGTTCATGAAAAAAACTCTGAAAAATCACTATAGTCTCCCGCTTTGTTTCTCCAGCCAGGAGGCACGGCTGACGTCCGAGTAACGTGTCTGACTCAGGGGTCTATATAAGCTTCTACTTCGTAAGTAACGATTCATGACCAGCTTTTACTTTTCAGGAAATAAGTCGTAATTAGTAATGTGTTCAATATTCTCTCGAACAACCTGAATCCCATCAGTCTACCAACGGTAACCGGATTTCATCGCAATGAATAATTAATACAATGTAATTGAATTAATGAACTATTTACATAACCTGTTGACTATAATTTTATCATCAAGTGACTAATCACATCTGTTATCAGCTGAATTAAAGGTCATGAGATGATGCCTATGTATTTAAGACATGATGGTCTAGTCGATTTGAACCTTGATTTCCTATTTAAATACAGCTTTGCTTCATAATACTATGACTCCTGTAGTGCTTTCACATCCTGTTGCTCAAGTGGACATTTTCACAGTTTGTTCCATCAATTGAGCCTGTGAGTTTTAGTGCCCTAAACCAGCAGCTCAATCCCATAACGCTGACTTATTTTATAAAGAGTTACTGATGCATATGTAAATGAAGTGTGTGGGGGTCTGGCTTTCCCCAGGTGGACAAGCGCACTCTAGAATTAGACCTTCCTCCAGTCTGGACATGCTGTTCGACCACATCGACTGGAAAGAGCCCACGTCCGGAAAACCGCTGTGAATACACTGTGCGTCAAACAGACAAGCGATCAGAATTATGGGATTACAGGGTTTTGGAAAGACTCCAGGAGCGAGTTGATGGTAAAATCCTGCAACATCACCAGACTGATGGGAGTCAAATTGTTCACGAAGGTCTAATAATGACAGGGTTCCTACAAAGTTCCTAAGAGAAAGTCAATCAGACTTTTCCCAGATCAGGTTCTCAGCTCACTAAATATCATATGGATTTGGTACAAAATTAGTCTAAGGCTAATTTTGTGGAAACAGATGAATAATGTTAGTCCCTGAATGCTAGTTATAACACATTATACTAGCAGTTGGTCTTACATATCTTACACAGTTGTATGTCAGTGCTTTAAAATGCTATAAAGCCTTCATAGGCCATTTGGCACAAACGACAAAAATATCTGTAAAAAGTAAGTAACTATGGATGCAAATTTTCTTAGATTAAGATTAGATTCAACTTTATTGTCATTGTGCAGAGTACGAGTACAGAGCCAATGAAATGCAGTTTTTCGCATATCCCAGCTTGCTAGGAAGCTGGGGTCAGAGCTCAAGGTCAGCCATGATACGGTACCCCTGGAGCAGATTTGGTTAAGGGCCTTGCTCAAGTGCCCAACACTTGACAGTGCTAGGGCTTGAACCCCTGACCTTCTGACCAGTAACCCAAAGCCTTAACCGTTCAGCCACCACTGCCAGTTCCTAGCCAGTTTAAGCTGAACTGCCAGCCAGATGTAAAGGAATAAAATTAGCTGGTATTAAATTGGTAATCATTTAATACCCGAGAACAAAAGCTAATACTTTATTCCAAGATCAGATTAAACAAGCTAACTACTCATGTTTTAGTCATCTCCATCATGAGAATGTAACTGGCACGGTTCTCCCACAATACTCAAGGAAACGTTAACTACTTACTTATGAAACGCGCTCATGTTCATGCTGTATGTGGATTAGTTATAATGAAACAAACAGACATTCTCCGGTTGCTTATGCAAGGAATAAAACATCTGGGGACATACTGTTATAGGATCTCATATATCCAAAGAGAGCACAGCTCTTATACCACAGCAATTTGCCTATAATGACCATTTCTATTCATTAACAAACATCATACTATTCACTCATTTATAGTTACGCTTAACGTTGCGGAACGGCCGCAAACCGAGTTAGTTCACCAGCTTCTGGTTTTTTTTCATCCAACAAGCGCACTAATATAAACATTCAAATTTAGCCTGTTACATGAATGACCTTAATGTTAGTTCATCATCATGTAAATACTGTTCTTGATTTTTTTTTCATTCTGGAGTAAAAGATCAATATTAAAAAGAGTTACAAAATTATTGCTTGATTGCTAGACACGAGGCGCAAATCTACCTGAAGAACAAAAAAATTTCAATTCATTGTTTTCATCAATCCCAATGTGGAACACAATGACAATATTTGACATTTGAAGAATGAATATGGAGAAGAAAAACAGGACACAGTGTATAAGCAAAGCCCTCGGCAGGGATTTGGCATGACAGAAGGTGCCTCATGTCACACCAGTGCTTTCCTCATTAAGGATTTTGCTCTGGGTGTGACTGGCCAAGTACAGTAGCACTTAATTTCTTTCACTTTCCTTAAAATAGAATAGGTGTTTCTGGGGCTATTTTCTGTTCTGCATTTTTGCAGTGGAATATAATAAAGGGAACATGCTGTTTAGTGCTAACTGACCCCCCCCCCACCTCCCCACCCCGCAGCGCCTTTCTGTTATAACCTATTTCTATGCTACGCATTAATTCACTGGATCCATGCATTAAATATTAGACTAAAAGCCATTTAAAAGGTGCAATAGAGCATGTATGTTCGTATGTGCAATAATAACCTGGTGAAATGTGTAGAATATGACAGAATACTTGTTTAAGCCATGGCCTTAGTGTTACATGTCTGAGAAAACCCATTTGGAAAACTGTTATGATCCAGAGTGCTCATTTGTGTTTACATGGGCCTCTTGTCAGTCATTTTATAGACACTCCCCAACACCCCTTCACTCCACTCCCATCTCAGTCTGTCTGGAAAGAAAAAAATATGTCTGAAATCGGAAAGCATCCAGCACAGCCAGATAATTATTTGAAAATATTTAACAAGAAATGCGGTAAAACCAGAATAAATATAGGCAGCATGATTCCATTATGGAGTAATGTAATACAGATGGAGTGAATGAAGCTGGACAGGGAATTAGCATTGGACACTGGACAGGTATGTAACTGAAATCCGTATAACGCTTTGAATTGTCTGAATGGCCTTTCAAGTAGATACCTCTTCTTCGTTACAAAGAAAAACAGGACACTGAAGTCATTCGTGACCATTCTCATAAAGCAGTACGAGGCGAATTTTGCGTATATACAGTGAGTGTTATAACTTGGTTTTCAAGCAGCTGAATGGCCTAGCATGTAGCTTACGATGATAACAATGCTAACAATGCTAATACCAGGGCTTAAAGCTTACAAGAGTTCATTACAAAGCAAAATAGTACAGCGAAGACAGTCTTGACCATTCTCATACATCAGCATGAGACGAATTAAGCATGTCTATAGTGTTACAACTTGACTTTCAAGCAGTTAAATAGCAAGTCATCTTGAAAGTGATGTCATGGTAGTCTTTGCTATTGATAATTCTAGTTAGCATGCTAACTCAAGTTGAACCGCTGTAGCTTTTGGGGTCAGAGCTTTGGTGAGAATCAGGGTGGGTTAAAGGAGTAAACCAAAAAAAAAAAAATCATTCAAATCTTATTTTCATTCTTATTAACTCCACCTACTTAACCTTTAGTGGACTGATCTTGAAAAATTTGGACAAATCTTGCTTAATACACCTTTAAGGTTAAATAAAACATGCGAAGGTTTAATCGGGCTACAACCTTCAAGAGCATTACACAAAACTGCAAAGAAAATTCTCTGCCTTTTTTGGTCTTGCTTGCTGTTTTTTTTGTGCCTTCTAACCAAGAGATGAATACAGTCAAATTATTTTTGTCAATAAAGCTCATCTTTTGAAGCTGGAAATTTTCTTCAGATAGAAAAAAACCCCACCATGATTGAGTTACAGTCTATCAGTACTATGTGAAGAGGGTAGACAAGATGAAAGCCTGTAAAATAGAGACACGTGTAGTGTGAGCTGGCTGACATTAAAAGGAAAAGGCCATGTCTTATCTGAGAAGGCTGGAGGGATAAGCAAGTACGAGGTGAAGGAGGAGAAGGCAAGAGCAAGAGCAAATGTTTAGCATTCTGTACGGTCAAGCCTTGATTCACAGCCTGTATGATGTATACAAATGTATTTTTTGAGCAAATTCTCAAAATGTGAGACTGCAGGTGGAATTCTGACAGAATTCAGGTCCAGCATACCAAGTAAGTCTGATTATGCCTAGGCCCATGTCTGCGCGTCTGGCCCAGATTCTTTGTGAATAATCCAACTTGGGTAGGATGTCACGACATTCCACACAACAGGACAGAAATATACTGCGAGAACAAGAATGATCGGCCTTGGGTGACTGTTGTTTTTCTGATTCTGTGCCTTGGGGCGAGTCTATCTTTAGCCGGATTCACATTACATTTTTCACACTTTGACAAGGTCTCACTGGTTCTGACTCTTTACTCTCAAAGTGCCTCAGGTAAAACAATAGTATGAGCAAAAGGATCTTCTTTGGGAAAAAAAAATTGACAGACTTCAACTCTGACGAACAAAATCAAGGGATGAACAGCTTTTAAAAAAAAGTTTCTGAACACTAACGGCGAGCCAGGTTTATGCAGTAACTTCTGGCAAATAGACAGAGCATAGATCACCAATCCCTTTCTCAGTAATAGGTAAGAAGACAACAAAGCTCTGAGTAAACTTGTTTGTTGGGTTCCAGGTTTCAGAGCAATCCTGACAAAAATGCTGGGCTCTGCTGGCTTAGCAAACACCGCAAAACCTACAAACTAGGTCATATATTTTTGAAATTACATGGGTATTTTCTCAAAGATGTTCATCCATACAGGCAGAGCTGATCTGTTCTGACTTCCTTCTGGACCATTCCAGCCATTTTTTTTTATGATTATATAGCCTAACCATATTATGCTAATACTCAAACCACAAAATAATACTCTTCAGCCAGTACTAATAAAAAACAATAACATTTATCCAGTACAAAAAAATGCTCTGCCAGTACTAAAAAACAAAAAAACAAAACAATACTCAGCCATTACAGAAAAATAGTCAGTCAATATTAGTGAAAAAATTAATAAATAATAATAAATTAAAAAAAAAAAAATAATAATAATAATAATAGTCAATAATAATCAATAATAGTCAGTACTAAAAAGATAATGCTCAGCAAGTACTACGAAAAAACCTGTAACATTCAGCCAGTACTAAATTAAATTAATAATACTAAAAAAATGCATAATAGTCAGTACTAGTAAAAAAAAATAATGATACTCTGCAAGTACTAAGAAAAAGATTAGCCATTACAAGTGAAAATAATACCACTCAGGCAGTACTAAAAACTTAATACTCAGCCAGTACTAACTAAACTAATAATACTCAGTCAGTACTAGCAAATAAAATAATTAAATTCTGCAAGTACTAAGAAAAACCTAAAAAATACTCAGACATTTCTAAAAAGCTAATACTCAGTAAGTGCTATGAAAAACCTAATAATACTCAACTAGTACTAAATAAACTAATAATACTCAGTCAGTGGTAAAATATGCATAATACTCAGACACTACTAGTTAAAAAAGCAATAATACTCAAGCAGTACTAGTAAAGAAAAACAGTAATACTCAGTTGGTACTAAAAGAACTAATACTCACCAAGTACTAAAAAAAAACTCATCATTTTCAGCCAGTACTGAAAGGTATAACATTATTAAAATTATTATTAAAAATCCTTTTTGAAAACATAATACTCAAGCCCTAAAAAAACTAATAATTCAGCCAATGCGGTATAAAGAAAGAAAATAGTGAATTTATATAACAGTCTGCATTACATAAATACTAACACTCAACTAGTACAAAACAGAATAAAAATCCGAGAGAGATTTCCTGTCTTTTTTAACATAATAACACAATAATTATGATTCCCCTTTCTAGCTGGATGTCTGCTTAAGAGCAGACAGAATTGAAGATAAAAAAAAAACCTCAATGCTGCTGAGAGCAAAATGGACCGAAATTTTAAAGCTCAAGCCGGTGAACGTGTGCAGTAATAGAGGACATGACAACCGAACACACACACACACACACACACACACACACACACACACACACAGTTTCAGCTGTGTAACACACAGCGCCTCTCCTCTAATGGACAGCAGGAAAAAGGAAACAGCAAAATTATATCTACAAAGGCAGAAATTAGCAAATCTCAGAAGAATGAGTTTTGGCAGGGTTTCTATCCACACACAGCAAGACATGTGGCTCACGATCAGCAGAGCCTGATGGACACCAAAGTGCTTCAGAAGAAACAATCATAGCCATTATATCAAATGCAGTTCAGCATAACAGGCCAAAATGCAGAGCTGAAGAAAAGCACGTTATCATTAGCGAATGGTGCAACATGACACTGTATCTCTATGAGAGAAAAGGGAAAAAAAAAAATGAGCAGCATTAGCTAACAACGCTAAATGGTTTGAAGTCATATTGTAAATGTCTTTATGGATTTTTGTAAAATTAGAACACTTTAATA